TGAGCCAGCCACTAAGTGGATTCTGGAATAGGTTCAGTAGGGGAGAGATTTCTTGCACCTCTGATGTCCAACGTACGGTCGTTGAGATCAAAATGCATGCATTATTTGTGCATCTAACGTTCGAGAGAGGGGAGTCAAGATGCAAGATCCTTCACTGAATGCCATAATTGTGGTAGGTACGAAGTCTTTTATTTATTTTTTTTCTTTTCTTTCTAAATCATGGTTTAGAAATCAGATTCATGGCCGTGAGTTTGCCTGCCTTGATAAGCTGCAGCTCTTAAATTGGAAAAGGGCGTTAAGTATAGTTGTTGAGTACTCGTTTTCTATTGAATGTATTCTGGGACCAACTTGGAAGAATAGGCAGAAGGGTTTCCCTCTCTGAAAACAAAAGGTGTGCCCCAGCAATTTCATTTTGTGATATTGGTGGTCACGCTCGATTGCTACATTTTTCCTCTTCTTGTTGGTTTACAAACCAAAGAAATTTTTTTTTTCCAAAAAAAAAATAAGAAAGCAAGAAAGAAAGGCAACTGTTAAATCATCATTTGTATGTCAAGTTATAATCTAAAATCTCTTCAAAGGGTGATATTATGATTTTCTACAGTTTTGTGAAAATGTGGCTATGTGTGGCTTCTAATATGAAATACGATAAGAAAGTTAATTAGATGAGTAGTAATGCTTGACTGCCCTAATTAAGCTAAGCAGTAACAGGTAGCTATTTGTTTATCTATCATATCTGAATCCTGATTACCAAGAACATGGTCCATAATAGTAGTGCTTAGCTATTACAGATGCAATTATAGTTTTTTGTTTTTTTACCCCCAAATAAAGAAATTTCAAGATTACGCGAATCAGATATAGAAAACATGCCCCAAATTATTATTATTATTTTTTTTTAAAAAAAGTTCGGCCTGCCTCCGTCCAAGAACCATTATTATTAGGAGGAAAATCACTCCCCTACCCTGTGTACAGGACAGATAGTGCCAAGCCCATAGGGGACACTAGTTTGACACTTTAGAAAACAGGATCAGCTGAATTTTCTCGATCCCTTGTTGCCGGTGTCTTTGACTTCACATTGATTTAACGAGTTACTTTATTCTGTGTTCATCTTGCGTAGGAGTGGCTAGGATGAAGCTTTGAGATAAAGTGCTTCGAAATTCAACCCTTTTCTCTGGATTGGCTGTGTGTATGTATGAAGCTTTAAAGATTAATGATGGTTGACAAACAGGGAAAAATAATTGTAGCATCGATCGATTAGAAAGGTAGAAAAACAATTTCAGGCCTGACTCCCCAACTTCCTGCAAATGGTGAGCAATCAAGTAGATGCTGATTATTTGGACCAATTGTTGTTAAATTTCTGACCAAGATGTTAAATAAAAAAATATTGTGCGTTGTTCATAGTCAAAAGCATCGCCGGAATTCATTCATTCCATCTTGTCTTTGCTCCCTACCTCCTTTATTTATAATGCGACCTACCCCATAAACAAGTACTGTAATAATGCTAGTAATAAATTGCTTCGCTCAAATGTTCAATACTACTACTATGAGCACAGAAACATGGGCAAAAAGTCTCTGTTTGAATTACCTAACAATTATGTATGATATTAAACAAATATTTATGGGAGTGAAAACTAACTACTGTGCTTGGTGTGATTTACTGACTAATCCTCAATATTCAACGAATTAGCTACGCACTTTGTATCAAGAAGAAAATAAAAAGAAACTACTAGATCATGCAGCTTCCTTTTGCTGCCATTGACGGGCGGCTCGAACTTCAATCTCCAAAAGTCAACACAACGAGGGTGGACTGTGGACTTGAAACATGGAAGGCATCTTCATCACACCAATCAAGAAAGAATACAGGAAACCATAAAAGACGCGATAGCATCAAATGCTAGTCTCTCCTCGTGATGAGTGGGGCTTGCACATCAAGTAGAAATGCTAATTTATGCAGCAAGCAAGGATTGACCTTGCACTTCGTTCACGCTTTCATTCACTTGCATATTGATGACTAATACCCATTCATATTTTTTGCCCTTTGACATTACATTGAAGTTATTAAGACTTGATTTCAATGCATATTAATTTTACACGCACTTGTGAATGGAGAAAATTCTATAATTCAAGCATGTATTAGTGAATATATTTGCAATAACATGATGAATCTGTAACGAACATATATATAAAAGAAATTTCAGTGCTTAAAAGCTTAATCCATCAATTAGTTGCACAAGTCACTTTCTAGCCATAGATCCTCTGCATCATTATTATTCCATAATCCCATCATGTTAGAGAGCGGCATGGGAACAGGAGTGGGTAGAAGAAGAAGATATTCAAAGAACTGTAGGAAGAAAGAATGCCTTGATTCAAGATTGTCAACCTCAAATGAACATCATTACAACTAAACATGGAGTCCAGTGATAGAACATCATCAAGGACTCCTTCACTCCCTTCAAATTTTCAAACATCTAATACATCTTTGTCATCAAAGATCCTTGAAGGAACGGCAAACCGAGCAGAAAATGATCTGGAGATGTCATCAGGATCAGCCCAAGTCAACCCCTGATCGAAGTTTTGAGAATAAGTGTATGGATCATAAGCAAACCTCGTTGAAGTCGAACGGTAGAACGTTCTTTTCTTCTCCTTCTTCATCTTCGTCCACAACTGTCTCCAAATTGGTGCTTTTGATCCGCTGCTTGGTCTTATTATATGGGACACAAATCGATCATAATTTCTGCTGGAAAAACTTCGGCTCCAACAGCAGCAGCACACTTCACCATTGCCCGAGCTGCACCGTGCTCCCATGTCCATGACCACTGTGAATGGTCTCCTCTCTGGACCTCAGGGATTTATGGTTGGTTTGCCTAGGCACGGAGCGTAAATGCAAGGAAGGGGACTATATATAATTGACCAAATGGTGCATCAATATTTTAGCTCTAGTGTGGATGAATATTATATTACTTGGGGTGGTCTATGTGTCATTGCGTAATGTAGTAACATGGTCCAACAAGGAAGTGAGAAATGGGGCATGTGAGATAATCAGAGTAAACTTTCTAGGATTTGGTGGACACATTTAAGATGTTTACCTTATACATCGGTCAGGCGTCATCAAAGTTCATGGATCTCCATTTATCATGCAATTAAACTGAAAAAATAACGATGTACGGATGTTTTAATTCTAGTAGCTAAAGAGGACTGGCTATTGTATTGAAGAGGCTTTATGGGATTGGATTGGATCACTTGATTATCTAAAATCTAAAATAAAAGTGATTGTTAATGCTCTGTCTATCTTCAACCATAGGATTTATGGGGGAAGGGATGAGTTGAGTGTTACGGAGGAGGAAGAGGGGAGAGAGTATAAATGAAATGTTCTGAATTCGAAGCCTTCCACCCACATTTTAAAAGAAAAGATTTATTACCATACATGAATATTAACAGATGGACAACCACAAGGTAAATAGATAAGATAAAAAGAAAGTGATGGCCTTCTTTTGTTCTCCTACTTCCTCTTTTTTTTCTCTCTTGAATTCCACTTTCATAGTTTATTTTTATTGTCAACGAATCTCAAATATTTGCTTAGAGACCCTGATATTGCCCACATTCCGAGTGCTCCTGTACCGAAACGAATGAAAAGTTGATCGCAGGAGGAGATAATATAAAAATGGTGTTTCTATATATATATTCTATCTTGTTGATCGGGAGGACACTGTAAATAATAGCATCACTGTAAATTTAGAGTGATTTTGAGAGTTGATGACATAACTGTATATCGGTACTCTCTATTGTAACCGAGAACCGCATTGGCGTCTATTTTATGACTAAAATTTATGAATAAGATTAAGAAACTAATTCAACTTTTAATTGGGAGATTGGGCTGGCAAAGTAATGAATATATAGTTAAGAGATAGATGTTCATAACTTTTTCTATTTTTTCTTCGGATAAATCAGACTCATTCACTACTGATTCTTCCTTCCATCGAGAAACCCTTCTGATTGTTGAATCCATTGTATTGTTTGTGGTTAGAACCTTCTGTTGGCGCGTCGCCACATCTTCCGATTCCAGGCCAAGTGTTACTACTACTTTTTTACGAGTTCATTTCATGAAGACAACTCCCACAAGATTCTACCAAAATTATAGAGCGTGCGCCCCACTGCCACTGCTGCCGTTGCAATCATCCAAAGCAAAAAGGCTAAGGCCTACGGGAATAGAAAAAGCAATCCCTTTCCGAAAATGTCGTCATATACTAACTAATACTACTGCTGCTCCTTCTGCTACTTATTCCAACCTTTTCTTCGCGTCCTCCCTTTAATTATTCTCCTCCTTAGCCCCTCTTGTAGTTGTAACCGACGCTGCTCCCTAATCATTTGTTCCTGGGAAAGAAAGAAGAAAACATGTGCTACCCCAGGCTTGCAATTCATTGATCCTTTCCACCGTCGAGGAAGCCTCCGCAGGCACGTGGTTTCTCCTGTGGGAACGGCAGCTGCGGAGATGAGGCCGCATCAGCAGCTGCACCAGCACGCAACAGTTGGCGCTGATAGAGGCGGAGAGGTTGCTGATGCAGGTGCGGTGAAACAGTGTTTGTGTTCACCAACGCGCCACCCGGGTTCGTTTAGGTGCAGGCACCATCGTACAGAGTATCAGTGGGTTGGTCGGCTGGGACCCCAGAACAGTTATAGTACTTAACTTTTCCTGTCTGTCTGTCATCCAACGGGCTACCCACCCACCCACCCGTCCTGTTGATTCAAGATGATCCATTGTACAAGGTACAATTAACAGTGCCATGTAATTTCTCTCCACCTTCTAATGCTACTACATTCTGAAGCTTAACGAACGCCACCGAGAAATTGTACTACAAGGCAAATTGAGACTTCTTTTCACCTCTTCCAACCCGCCCATGTTACGATCAGAGGTCTGCGTCACTAATTGCCGGCCAAAATAGTTGAATTATAAGGAACATACAATCGAAAAGCCGCGAGGAAATTTGAAGAGGGAAAAAGTACGCTAGACAAACTGGTGGTTTCTATTAGAAATTATACACTGCTAGTCTACACAAGGTTTATATACAGGCAAATCCAACGTAGTTTATACGTGATACATATGCTGCAGCATCATCCTTAATTTTTTTTTTCCCCGTAGCTGTAGGGAATGTAATACGCCATAATCTAGTAGTAAAGACGCTAAAACAGGGGATCCAAACCCAAATCTCTCACTCATCGTAGACCTCTATACTAAATGAGGAACGGGAGTTTGTCAAAGCCAACTCTGGAGCCGCTGCATGTGGTCTCCAAGCTTAATCATAATCACTGCCCAAAGAGTAGAAGAGTTAGTGATGCCATACCGGGAAAGGGCCACTCAGTAAATCTACAAATAAATCTTTCACAGTTCTGCTACACCAGGCTGCATTAGACCTCAGGTAGCTATCCGTTTCCTTAACAGCAACTATAATGAAAGAACAAATGCAGAGGCGATTAACACACACTGGATGCTTACCTCAGGGTAACAGTTTTGGTGCTCGATTGTCTGATTGTGGATATTTACATTAACCTCACATGACACTTTCCCCTGCAGAACACCATAAGCAAGCACATCATAAATCAGGGGCACATATCATCTGGGGAAGCATGAAAAGGCTAATCATGAAGTCCCATTTGTTACGTCTTCCTTGGGTGTTATGCTTCGGTAACAGAAGAATAGGAGGACCAGCCAGAGCCAGCCCACCCCACGCAACTTAAAATAGACGTGTTCTGTGAAGGCATTATTGGACATATACTTCTGTCAAAATTGACAAGCAATGTACATTAAACAAAAGGATTAATCTTTATATACTGCCAAGTTTGGATGCACGGCAAAAAATCTAAATTTGAACTTCAAATCCAAATTTTGCATATGTTTTATGCATCTAACCATGATAACATATACAACGTCAATGTATACAAGATTTTCTCTATACAAATTGTGAACAATACAAAAGAAGGCCCAAGGGAGCTTAACAGATGATGCTTTCTCATTTTAGATACGATTCCCACAAGACACGAATGAAGTTTCACCGAGCATCATAGATTGCATTTCAGAATGTCTGGATGCTGGCATGGACGAAAGAGTCCATATGCTAGTACCTAACAATACTCAAAAACCTGCTTCTGTTTAGTGCATGCACGGATGCTTACCAGCCAAAACTCATTTCTGTTTATAGGAACTTTAAAAACTTCTAACTACTACTTTACTTGTTCACAATTTGCAGCAAGTTATACCGGTTATATCAGTAATTAGTGTTCTTGCTTATACATTAATAGACTTACAAGAACCCAACGTCTGTTTGGCTGGTAACCAGAGCATACTACGGGGGAAGTTGATTCTCTTTGTTTCAATTTTCACTGCAGATACACTCAACCATGTAATTTCTCTCCACCTTCTAATGCTACTACATTCTGAAGCTTAACGAACGCCACCGAGAAATTGTACTACAAGGCAAATTGAGACTTCTTTTCACCTCTTCCAACCCGCCCATGTTACGATCAGAGGTCTGCGTCACTAATTGCCGGCCAAAATAGTTGAATTATAAGGAACATACAATCGAAAAGCCGCGAGGAAATTTGAAGAGGGAAAAAGTACGCTAGACAAACTGGTGGTTTCTATTAGAAATTATACACTGCTAGTCTACACAAGGTTTATATACAGGCAAATCCAACGTAGTTTATACGTGATACATATGCTGCAGCATCATCCTTAATTTTTTTTTTCCCCGTAGCTGTAGGGAATGTAATACGCCATAATCTAGTAGTAAAGACGCTAAAACAGGGGATCCAAACCCAAATCTCTCACTCATCGTAGACCTCTATACTAAATGAGGAACGGGAGTTTGTCAAAGCCAACTCTGGAGCCGCTGCATGTGGTCTCCAAGCTTAATCATAATCACTGCCCAAAGAGTAGAAGAGTTAGTGATGCCATACCGGGAAAGGGCCACTCAGTAAATCTACAAATAAATCTTTCACAGTTCTGCTACACCAGGCTGCATTAGACCTCAGGTAGCTATCCGTTTCCTTAACAGCAACTATAATGAAAGAACAAATGCAGAGGCGATTAACACACACTGGATGCTTACCTCAGGGTAACAGTTTTGGTGCTCGATTGTCTGATTGTGGATATTTACATTAACCTCACATGACACTTTCCCCTGCAGAACACCATAAGCAAGCACATCATAAATCAGGGGCACATATCATCTGGGGAAGCATGAAAAGGCTAATCATGAAGTCCCATTTGTTACGTCTTCCTTGGGTGTTATGCTTCGGTAACAGAAGAATAGGAGGACCAGCCAGAGCCAGCCCACCCCACGCAACTTAAAATAGACGTGTTCTGTGAAGGCATTATTGGACATATACTTCTGTCAATTTTATTCATGTTTTTATTGAATTTTATTATGAAAAATTTTGCAATTATTCATAACATGTTGTGCTAAATAACTGCATTCATCGTGTAGTAGCTGTTGACAATTTTCATTTTCATTTCCAAAATCTGGACAGCTGGTTTACTTTTAAATTTTTTTAAAAAATTCTTTTTCGTTATGGAATTTTGGATTCTTTTTGTTGAATTTTCATTTTCTAATATTTTAGCTCGGGAGGGGTGGGAAGGGATATGGGAATGGGAATGGTGATGGTGAGAACCGAATACTTATTCTAAGTCGAGGGGGGAAACAAAATCCTTAAAGCTGGTTCATCTTCTATTATAATTAAAACAGATAGTCATTTACGTAAAATTTGCACGACCATGTTCTGCCAATTTATTCAATTAATGTTATTTTTTCAATAAATATCACATTTTTATTTTACAGATGTAACTTGTAGGTGGTGTTACAAGAATGGGAAACTCAATTCTCTTATTTTTTGAAAAAAATTTTTGGACCTTAAAATCACGATTAACATGTTTTTATAAGTCATCCTGGATTGAATGATAATAAATTTCGTTCACGACCCATTTTTGACAAGCAGAAATCTAATGCACTGCTAGAGAGCCCAACTGGAACTGGGAAGACCTTGTGTCTTCTCTGTGCTACATTGGCATGGAGAAAGAGCCTGGGTGGTTTCTCTAGAGGTAGAAGTGAAAGAAGTAGTCAACTTAGCAGTCAGGATCCAGATGAATCATCCAGGGAATCACAATCTTCAAAGTTGCCTACTATCATTTACACATCGCGCACCCATAGCCAACTTCGTCAAGTAATTCAAGAGTTGAAAAGTACCAATTACAGGTATAGATTGCTATGATCACTTTATTAAATACCTTTATTATAACTATAGAATCTGTGCTTATCAAATATTGGAACTTAGGCTATCATTTTCTAATTGGCAATGTATAGTTATTTGATCGGAATGGTAGTAGAGTTGAAGAAGGCTTATCCCTACATGCATCTAAACTCCTATTACTTAACTAGTTTAGATGTGGAAGTTTGGGAAAAAAGATTGACATTAATAGGTTGTCAGATAGATGTTATGAAAGTGATGAGTTGTTAAAGGTGATTGCTTCACTACTCTTCTGACTTGCTTTCTTTGTTGTCCTTATAAAATTGCAACTTCTGCATCCAATCAAGTGGTCTAAAATTGTGCTGCAGGCCCAAAATGGTAGTTTTAGGATCTCGGGAGCAATTATGCATTCACGAAAAAGTTCGTTCACTTCATGGTAAAGCACAGACAAATGCTTGCCATGCCCTATGTAAAAAGCGCAAGAAGCATTATTGTGCCCATTTCTCTCGTGTTTCAGGTAATAATTTAAATTTCAAGTTTGGCATAGCAAAAGCTTTTGATCATATATCCATTGCTTTGAAGAGAATAGGATATGCAGCTCTCAGTTTTTTGTAATCTTTTCTCTGCACTCTTTACCTTGTAGAAAATGGTAAAAATGAAATAAAGCAAAAGAAAATGAAGATTTTACTTTTTTGTTAAACATATCGAACTTTATTATGTTATTTCTTTCCAGAATTCTTGAGGAGTAATCCTGGTCTAGGCGACGAACCTGTTGATATAGAAGACTTGGTCAATATTGGACGAAGTTGTGGACCGTAAATTCCTTGCTTATATTTCATTTAATGTGTAAGTTAACACAGTTAACTTTCTAATAATTCTTTGACTTAATTTTTAGGTGTCCTTATTATCTGTCAAGAGAGCTTCACAAGGTTGTTGACATCTTATTTACGCCTTACAACTATCTTATTGATCGTGGCTACAGAAAAACTTTGAACATTGAGTGGCAAAATAGTGTATTGATCTTTGATGAAGCACACAACTTGGTATATTTTATCCTTCATCCTTATGTTCTACGCTATCACTTTTCACCTTTTTCTATCATTTTGGTCATCTATTATGAAGTTTAAAGGATGTCGGCGACTATAGCTTTGTATAGTGTGAAATAAGATGCCTTAGCACATATTTTATTGATGATGAACTGGAATCTTAGACACAAAACATCGTGCATTTCTCGTGAAATGTAGGAAGGATTGTGTGCTGATGCTGCCTCTTTTGATCTGCCCTCAAGCCTTCTGTCTGCTTGCATTTCTGAGGCAAAAAGTTGTGTGGACCTTTCCATTTCTCGGAGGGATAAGTCAAATGATAAATCTTGCAAACCAGATAATTTTGCTATTCTAAGAGGTATGAAGGAGTTATTGGAACTGCCTGAGACAATAAATTGGTGCATATGACAAATGTTCTTGTGTTTACCCAGCATATGTGCCAGGCTGTCAGTTACTATTCAAAATTTATCTGGCTTGGCTAATTTGATATGTGTTTATTCCTGGTCCAAAGGTGACCTTTATTATTAGAGTTCATTTTCCTGAAGTAATTGTTGGTTCGTTTCACTTGTTTCCTTTGATTTTCTGCAGCACTTCTTCTGAAGCTTGAGAAGAGAATTGCTGAAGTGCCTATAGATTCCAAAGAATTGGGGTTCACAAAACCTGGGCCTTACATCTATGAGCTGCTTGCTGATCTAAATGTCACGACAAAAACTGCCACCATGTTGATTGATATAATCGATGAAGCAGTACTACTTCTTGAGGAAGGTACCCCAGCCATTGACTTTGTTCGTGCTTAAAGAACTAATGCTAACTATCGGTAACTGGCTTAAAAGCTCTATCCCCCTACGTTAGCTGGCTGAAAAAGCAATTTCTCCTTAATCCACTCGGTAAATTGAAACAAGTCCCAACCACGAGGCTTTGCCGCGAGAGTAATGGTACCTGGTGCATGATATCTTAATTATTATCCTTCTATTGTGTTCTGTTATCTGATAATAGAGATAAAACATTACAGTACTTGGAGCACTGATGGCGTTTTGGTTCATCTCCTGGCATTATGTTCTTATTTTCTTTTTAGTAAGAAATGTCTTTTCTTTGGTTAGATGCAAATATCTCTGACGATGGAGGCCAGAAGACAAAAGGGACTGTCTGCAGATTAGAAAGCATGGGGGATATATTTAGATTAATATTCAGAGACAATTATAGTCATGCTAACAACTATCGTGTAAGTCCAGATCAATTCCTCTTCAATTTCAGCATATTTAGGTTAAGTTTTTTCTTTCTTCTACACTGTTGCTTCAACTGTGTTGTTTACTGGCTGCTTGGATATATTGCTAGTTGTTTGACAAGAACTCTTTCATTCTTGTCCAGGTTCATGTTCAGGAAGTCGAAGGAAGTACATTAGATGCCTTTAAAGGTAAACATTTGAATCTCGTTTTATATTTTGAGGATTACTTCAATCTTGCTCTTATTATTTTCCCTGGTATTGGTATTTTCCCTGGTTGGTAATGATCAAACACTTCACTCCAAGATGTTTTAAATTTTTGAAGAATTTTGCTCAATCAATTATTTAATGATCAGATTCCACTATTCAATCATAAAGCAGCTTATTCAATTTTCTTCAGAGACCTACCAATTTAGAATTTGAAGTTCTGGCTCTAGCAGGTCTTTGTACGGGAGAGAAACTTGTGAGATTTGTACAAACTATAGATACCATGTTCTTTTTCGAGTAGTAACTTTCTTAGATGAATCTTGGTTTAGCAAATCACTAATAGCTTTCCGTTAAATTGCTAAAAAAGTAATGGCAAGTAGTATCTGTTTGAAAGGCTAATGCAGGTAGGATGATAAAAAAACACAATAGTGTACCACTTTTGAATAATATTCAGGACCTTTCCTCTCATCTTTTGCTGAATATAAGGTTTCTGGTTAAGTGTGCATTCTTGTAAAGCTCAACAGTTGCTGCTAAGGTTTTTTATGTTCTAATTACAGTGAAAGATTTTACTCGTGCTAAAATTTGCATTTTGCAGAGGACACCTTTTACTTTTATGTATTATATTATCTAATTGACAAG